AGAAGAAGAAGAAGAAGAAGGAGAAGGAGAAGGAGAAGGAGAAGGAGAAGGAGAAGGAGAAGGAGAAGAAGAAGAAGGAGGAGGAGAAACAACAACCGATAACTGGATTAAGAAATAATAGAGGTGACATCACAACAGAACCAGATGAAATTAAATCTATAATACTGGTATACTATGGAAAGCTATATTCTGATACATTAAAAAACTTGGAGGAAATGGACAAATTCCTTGAAACTCATGTTCAACCTAGACTGACAAGGATAGATATAGAACACTTGAGCAGCTCATAAAAAAATTTCCTCATAAGAAAAATCCTGGACCAAATGACTTTGAGGCTGAATTCTACAAACACTCAAAGATGTATTACTAATTCTACTTAAATTATTTAAAAAAAACAGAAAAAGAACACGCCCAGAATAATTCTATGAAGCAATCATAGTCTTAATACCTAAACCAGGCAAAGGTACTACCAAAAAATAAAACTACATACTAATATCTTTCATGAATATGGATGGAAAATCCATAAAAAAATCCTAGCCAATAGAATACAAAAACACATAAAAAAATAATTCATCATGACCAAGTAGGATTCAAAAGAGGTATCCAATAATTGTTAAGCATAAGAAAAACAAGCAGTGTAATCCATCATATTAACAAAATAAATAACAAGAACCATATGATCTTACCAATTGATACAGAAAAGGCATTTGACAAAATCCAACACCCCTTCCTGATAAAGACAATAAGCAAAATTGGAAGAGAAGGGTGTCTCTTTAACATAGTCAAAAGTATATATGCAAAACTAAAAGCCAACATCATTCTCAACAGAGAAAGATTAAAAAGCATTTTCTTTGAGAACAGGGACAAGGAAAGGATGTCCACTGTCAACACTTCTGTTCAATATTTATTGGAAGTGCTTGAGAGGTCAATACAACAAGAGAAGGAAATAAAGGCATCCAGGATTGAAGTATGTGCCCTGTTCATGGATAGGAATACTCAATATTGTGAAAATGACAATCCTACCAAAAGCAATTTACATGTTCAATGCAATCCCAATACAAATACCAATGTCATTTTTCAAGGAGATCAAAAGGGAAATTTATTTAGTCAAGTTTATTTAGAGAGGAAAGAGTCTCCAAATTAGCAAAGCATTTCTGAAAGACAAAAATGAAGTGGGAGGCATAGCATTCCCTGACCTCAAAATCTACTAGGCAATGGTGATAACCAAAACAGCACGGTACTGGCACAATGACAGGCACATAGACCAAGGGACCAGAATTGAGAACCCAGAAGTGGACCCAACTGTCTATGGCCAACTGTTATTCGACAAGAAAATAAAACCTATCAAACAGGGAAATGGCAACCTATTCAGCAAATGGTGCTGGCAAAACTGGACTGCTATCTGCAGAAAGCTGAAAAAGGATCCATATCTCACACCATACACAAAAATCAACTCAAGGTGTATCAGAGAGCTGGGAGTAAAGCTCAAAACCATAAAGTTCATAAGAGACAAAGTAGGATCAAATTTAGACAGCCTAGTCTATGGTATAAAGAGACTGTCAAATACATCAAAAATGCACAATCTGGAGAGGACAAAATAAATGAATGGGACCTTCTAAAGATGAAATCCCTGTACGTATCAAAAACTTTTTTTCAACAGAGTGAAAAGAATACCTATTGACTGGGGAAAAACACTTGGCAATACTATTTGAGACACAGATTTCATATCAAAAGTTTACAGAATCCTACAGGGTTTCCACAAGAAAAAAACTGGTGACACAATTACAAAAGTGGCAAAATACATGGAAAGACTTTTCACAGAGGAAGATATTCAGAAAGCCAACAGCCACATGAAGAAATGCTCAAAATCATTGGCAATAAGAAAGATGTATATCAAAACCACAATGAGATACCATCTCACTCCAGTAGCAGTGGCAAAGTTTAACAGGACAAGTAATAAATGTTAGAGAGGATGCCACAAAATAGGAACTCTTGTACAAAGTTGGTGGGATTGTTAAATAATACAACCACTCTGGAAGGCAGTTTGGCATTTCCTCAAAAAGCTGAACATAGAAATTCCGTATGACCTAGCTATTCCAATGCTTACCTTGAGATAATGAGAACTGAGGCACAGATGGAGACTTATACACCAATGTTCATAGCAGTGCTATTCACCATAGCAAGAACATGGAAACAACCTAAATGCCCAACCACAATCGAATGGAATGAGAAATTACAGTACATTCACAAAAAAAGAATACTATGCAGTATGTGAGAGCAATGACTTTGTAAATCACTAATAAACTTGGAGGGAGTGGAGACCATTATGCTAAGTGAACTACGTAAGTCTCATAAGGACAAATACTATATAGGACCATTATAATAGAACATATATGAGGATCCAAGGGGGAGAGTGGGAGAGCAGAGGAGTGAGAATGGGCAGGGTTGGGGGGGGGTCAAGGTGGGGGATGGTTTTTCATAGGGTTGCACAATTTGATGTGTGGAGGCAGAGTAAAGAAAAGGGAATGGGAAAAATCTGGTGTGAAAAGCAATGTATACAAATTTGTAAGGAAACAAAACCAAAAAATTTATTTTAAAAATGCAAACCAAAATCATTTTCGAGCTTCAAAGGCATACTGCCCATAAAAGATTTAATAGTTTCAATGGATAATAATTAATTAGCCAGAACTCCTATAATATTCTGCATGTGGTACAAAATAGACTGGAGGATTTTGGAAATGAATGAGGTA